ATCGGGACTACCAATCAGGAATAAAGATCGCTATCTTTAGTCCCGGTTTTTAGTAGAATCGGGACTATTGTGGATTTCGGCCGACCGATTAAAGATGGTTTCTCCACCCGTGTATACAACCATTATAGTATATCCATCTAATTACTTGATATTTCTGCTAATAAATAAGCTTCTGAAATTAGACAGGCATGGACCAAGTTATATCATATATGTCCCAATGCTATGATATATCCCTGTATCAGTAGTTAGATATATGGCACCTAACCCTATAGTAGATAGGTGAGAGTCTGTTTGACTGAATTTTTATTGGAGCTGAAGTCCAACCAAACGATTTAAACTCTCTCACATAATAAAGTAGATAGGTGGAGCGTGGTTCAGACTACTAATATATATATAGTACTACTCTAGATTTAATTGTTAAAGTTCAATTTAAAAGTTGAAGTTCTTTTACACAGGCTGTAAGTATGCACGCTGGTCAATTAACCGATTTCACTAATTATTAAGCAGCGGATGGTCAGTGGTCACTCCATGCATGGAAAATAAACAACCCATGTTGTCCTTTTCTTGCCTTTCTTCTAAGAGGCTCTACAGTGACCAGCGTTATGCACACGACCTTGACAAAAATTACACGTTAGCACATATGTACACAAATTGTTTTCCAAATATCAACCTAGAAGCTATACATTACTTAAACTTAATTAGTTACTTTTGCATATGATATTTAACTTCTAAAAATGAAATAACTGTGCTGAAAGCATGAAGATCGGTTTGAAAAAGTTCCTCAATTAGGCTGGTTCCACAGGCAGATAAAAATTAATTAGAAAAAAAGTCTATTTTACTCCCCTGTACCATTTTATCAAAGCAGTTAACACTCAAAATTATTTTTGGGCACATGCTATCTCTAAACTATTAGAAATAGTTCATTTTATTGCTTAAAAATAGCACATTTCATTTCTTTGTTTCTCTTTACCTGAGTCGTATTTTAATCTATTTTTTTATAACAAAAGATTATACCATTATGAAAGATTCAAAATATTTTTAAAAATTATCATAACTATTTGCCTAAAGTTTAAAACCTCGATATTTAAATTACTCTTAGTGTTTCTAACCTATGTAAAACATTGACAGAAATTCTGAAAAGAATTATAATGCATCGATCAATCCTACCAAACATTAATGCAAAATACAACTTACATATTGAGAAAAAAAAGAGAGAGAAATGTCAACAGGGGATAAAGGGTGATCCATTTTTAATAGTTCGATTATGTTGTAAAATGAGTCAAAAATTACTTTATAGGGTTAAATGCTCCAGCGAGATAGTTTGGGATGTAAAATATCGTTTTCTTTGGTTAGAAACATGTCTATTACGCATGATTTTTTTTGTTGATTCTTCCAAACTGCAGACGTCTCAAAACGTACAAGAAAAAAAACAAATATGGCTCCAAATTAAACCAGGTACGACTCGACCCTTATTACTTATTAAAAATTTAGAAATTATTACAACATGAAAAGTATTTTTTAAAAAACGTATGGATTGATGATTAATGTACTAAATTGTTCGGTTTTCATGTTATTTTTTTATTAATTGCACCAATTTAGATTTTCCTTGTAGAAAATCACACTGAGCTCATCAAATAATCGTACTACGTACATTTGCAAACTCTGCAACTTCACATATCGTAAGTCATATACCCCCACCCATAAAGTTATTATATAGTTCACATATACTATCAAAAGGCAATGTCCCTTTCTTCTATTGTATTTTCTGATGGACGATCCAAGTACAAGTCCTTACAATTTCCAATGCTCTTAATTTCACACACATTTATCATCCATATATTTATAATTTGTCATGTGAAAATTGTAGGAGTTAATTTGATCGATTCTGTGGCCGGGAGTGGTCGTCCGATCGACCGGCAGGCTGCAAAGCTTGGCTGGAAAAGGGCCAGCAAAAATCATCGTACTCGTGCAACGGAATATACGGGAGAAAAACCGACCGAGACATGGTGCAGAAACTCTCCAAAACGAGCCCATGTCAGGACGCAACCGCATTGGTTGGACTCGTCCGTGGAAGAATCACGTTAGGCCGTGACACAAGCATCTACCTTTTTTTCCTTTTTTTTTTTTGAGAATAATACAGAAGCATCTACCTGAACATCATCGATCCAGCTCTAGTACAACATCGATCTGCTGGGTTCATTGAGTACTTTCTTTTGTTTCACCTAGAGAGGAAAAAAAAAATCGTGCGATAGTTAGCTAAAATGCCCTAGCTAATGGTTTCATGCATGTCCCTTTTTTTTTATTTTTTGAACTTTTTGTTTTTAATTTTTTTTAAAAATTAAACTCTTCTAAATTTTATTTCTAATTCTCAACCTTTCGACCACACCAGTGTTGGTAATGTAGCGAAACAAAATGTTTCCACGCCACAAAAGGTTGGTGTAGTAAAATAACATTGGCACGTCAACCGTGGGTGGCGTGGAAGCATTATTCCCTCCGGTTTTATTTTAATTGACGTTTTGAACAATGACACGGTCTACAAGATATATCTTTAACATTATTTTTCTATTATAATATATATAATAAATAAATGCATGTTTACTTTTATTATAGTGCTTTAAAAGACAAATCTATATATGTTGTTCTAGTTTCTTTAAACTATATATGTTTAAAGTTGTTGATGGTTAAAGCTATAAAAGTTTGACCTCAACCTTATCCAAAACGTCAATTAATATGGAACCGGAGGGAGTATTTTTCCACGTCACTAGGACTGACATGTCCAAAAGGTTTAGAATTAAAAATAAATTTTGAGAGAGTCTATTTTTAAAATTAAAAATTCAAGAGGTTAAAAAATAATAGAAAATCCTATTGCACCCGGTGGAGATGTTTATATATCTTGTAGGAAGATGGAGTGGATATGCTCTATTTCGAGCAAGTTAATTCTAGTTTGCTCCTTTATTGGCTCACGGTAGACTAGAATTTATTTTCTATTTTTAATGCTGAAACTTTAAAAACCAATTTTTTAAATTATTGTACTCATAGTAAAGCTAACTACTAGCTATAAGTTTATCTAAAAATTAAATAATATTAGAGTCGATATATACAGTTAGCTTAGCATAAGGCTGTCTCTATTAATTTTATTAAACTCTTTCTCAGTTATATATTTAATACATTTATCTTGGAGTATATATGTGTAAAGTTGGATCTTGCATATAGGAGAGTTAGAACTAATTCTCTCTCTTCTCTATATATGTACATGTTTATAGCTAGCTTAATTATAGTATTACGCATGCTCTTATCGTAGGAAAGTTTATTTTGGTTGAGGCTGCCAAATAAATTGGACTTCTTTCTCATCAACTTTGGCCTCAAAATATATTCTGAGCACGGTTTAACGGTGATGGTGAACATAAAGCTAATTATAAGCCCATTAGTTCAAAATTGGCTTGCTTTTATTAATTAGTTATCGCCACTTCTTTTTCATCGGCTTGGTTCAAAATTGACTTGCATTTATTTATTATCATCTTACTGTATCTTAAAATATTAATTTAAAAAACAAGGTAATGAGTTGAGCCAGAATGAAATCAACTTTATTTAAGATCAGTTAGTTTTATTCTTAAAAATAAAACGAGAGTATATGTAATTGAAGTAATTTTGATCATTGCCAATGTGTTGTCCACATAGGTTGTTATTTTTTTAGTTAAACAAGGGTTGTACGTATTAATTGTTAGTTAGAATATATATTTGCCTGCTACATGCATATAGGCATATGCCTTTTTTGGACTTTGCAGCTTGCAGAAGGAGGTTATTTGGCAACTATTTTCTTTAAAAAAAAAGGGACAAAAGACAGTAGGGGCCTCACCATCTTATTGTCAATTAAAAAGTTCCAACAATTACATGTTGGTCCTCAATTGGAAGGCTCCACAAGGAAAATAAAAATTACAATTGAGCCCTTTTCACAAACAGAGCTACCGCTAGTGATATCCTTTCTTCTTTTTTTAATAAATGATGACATTGACTTTTTAATATACGTTTAACCATTTTGTCTGATTTAAAAATTGTGTAAATACATAAGATATAAATCATGCTTAAAATGCTATAAAACAACTAACAGTAAAATAAATAATAATTACATAAAAAATTAAAATAAGCCGAATAATCAAATGGATATCTAAAAGTAAACAACGTCATCTATTTAAAAAGAGATAGTATGTTACTGTATGATTAAGGACCACAGATACATGTCTTTTTGGACTTTATACAAGGTGGATATGTTGTGATTTTTTTTTTTGAAAAATGAACAATGGCCATATGGGCCTTATCACCCTATTCATCATATTACCAATTTAAACAAGGGACCATTTCCTTGTAATAAATAACATGTAGGTCCTCATCAAGGACCAAAGATAAAAATAAAAAACTACATATTATTGAGCCCTTGTCAGTAACAAAGCTAGTGATATACGGTACAATTATTGAGGCTAACCTTTTGTACATGTCAGCTCATCTCACTCTCGACTACTTGGCTTCTAATTTACAGTAATTTTATCCTAAAAGAAAAAATTATATTTTTTTTGACACAGTTAAATTTCGGACACATATTTAACCATTCGACTTATTAAAAATTTATACAAACACATAAGATATAAATCATGCTTAAAATATTTTTAGCGATAAAACAACTCACAATAAAATAAATAATAATTACGTAAATTTTTCTAAATAAAACAAATGGTCAACCTCTAGTTAAAGTTAACGGCGTTAACTGTATACCCCGCGAGACAATGACACATCATCTCACGAGAAGTTATATAGCAGCACTGCAGCAGCTTCCCCCCGAAAGCACAGTCATTTTCTCGCGCCACGTTTAAATCGTTTTTATTTAAATTTAATTCTTCTCCCGCTAAAACTTGCTTGTCTGTTTGTTTTATTTATTTATGACGTCATTATTCCCCTCTCGCGCGCCTATAAAATCCGCCTCCATCTCTGCTTCTCCTCCCACTCCTCTTCCTCCTCCTCCTCCTCCTCCTGCGATCCCGGCGCAGCATCGATCGCCATTGCCACTCGAGCTCCGAGCTCCTCGGAAAAGCAGTGAACCCACCACTAAGCTCGCGACATCTCGCAACACAGCTTGCTTGCTGCGTCGCGGTATATAGAGCAGTAGCTAGCTTAGCTTGTCGATCTCCAATGGCGCTCCAGGCATCGTCGTCGCCGTCCATGTTCCGCGCGATCCCGACGAACACCAACGCTTCTTGCCGGCGAAAGGTACGCCGTACAGCTCGCCGGAGCGGCGGCCGCGCGGCGGATGGTCTGTTTCTTCTTTCTTGGGTCGGAGAATTGATTGGTGTTTGTGTGTGTTGGTTTCAGTTGCAGGTCAGGGCGAGCGCGGCGGCGGCGGCGGCGAACGGCGGCGGGGATGGGAAGGTGATGATGAGGAAGGAGGCGGCGTCGGGCGCGTGGAAGATCGACTACTCCGGCGAGAAGCCGGCGACGCCTCTGCTTGACACGGTGAACTACCCGGTCCACATGAAGAACCTCTCGACGCCGGAGCTGGAGCAGCTGGCGGCGGAGCTCCGGGCGGAGATCGTGCACACGGTGTCCAAGACCGGGGGCCACCTGAGCTCCAGCCTGGGCGTCGTCGAGCTCGCCGTGGCGCTGCACCACGTGTTCGACACGCCGGAGGACAAGATCATCTGGGACGTCGGGCACCAGGCGTACCCGCACAAGATCCTGACGGGGCGGCGTTCGCGGATGCACACCATCCGGCAGACCTCCGGGCTCGCCGGGTTCCCGAAGCGCGACGAGAGCGCGCACGACGCGTTCGGCGCGGGCCACAGCTCGACGAGCATCTCGGCGGCGCTCGGGATGGCGGTGGCGAGGGACCTCCTCGGGAAGAAGAACCACGTCATCTCGGTGATCGGCGACGGCGCCATGACCGCCGGCCAGGCGTACGAGGCGATGAACAACTCGGGCTACCTCGACTCCAACATGATCGTGGTGCTCAACGACAACAAGCAGGTGTCCCTCCCGACGGCGACGCTCGACGGCCCCGCCACGCCCGTCGGCGCGCTGAGCAAGGCGCTGACGAAGCTCCAGTCGAGCACCAAGCTCCGCCGCCTCCGCGAGGCGGCGAAGACGGTGACGAAGCAGATCGGCGGGCAGGCGCACGAGGTGGCGGCGAAGGTGGACGAGTACGCGCGCGGCATGGTGAGCGCGTCGGGCTCGACGCTGTTCGAGGAGCTCGGGCTCTACTACATCGGCCCCGTCGACGGCCACAGCGTCGACGACCTCGTCGCCATCTTCAACAAGGTGAAGTCGATGCCGGCGCCGGGGCCGGTGCTCGTCCACATCGTGACGGAGAAGGGGAAGGGCTACCCGCCGGCGGAGGCCGCCGCCGACCGGATGCACGGCGTGGTCAAGTTCGACCCGACGACGGGGAGGCAGTTCAAGTCCAAGTGTTCGACGTTGTCCTACACCCAGTACTTCGCCGAGGCGCTGATCCGGGAGGCCGAGGCCGACGACAAGGTGGTCGGCATCCACGCCGCCATGGGCGGCGGCACGGGGCTCAACTACTTCCACAAGAGGTTCCCGGAGCGGTGCTTCGACGTGGGGATCGCGGAGCAGCACGCCGTGACGTTCGCCGCGGGGCTCGCCGCCGAGGGGCTCAAGCCGTTCTGCGCCATCTACTCGTCGTTCCTGCAGCGAGGGTACGACCAGGTGGTGCACGACGTCGACCTGCAGCGGCTGCCGGTGAGGTTCGCCATGGACAGGGCGGGGCTCGTCGGCGCCGACGGGCCCACGCACTGCGGCGCGTTCGACGTCGCCTACATGGCGTGCCTGCCGAACATGGTCGTCATGGCGCCCGCCGACGAGGCCGAGCTCATGCACATGGTCGCCACCGCCGCAGCCATCGACGACCGCCCTAGCTGCTTCCGCTTCCCCCGCGGCAATGGCATTGGCGCCGTCCTCCCTCCCAACCACAAGGGCACACCTCTCGAGGTACAACACTCCTTCTACTACTATTCCCACCTCGTTCTTAAAATATAGCAATCTAGTACTGGATGAGACGTATTCTCAAGATCTCTAATGGCGGCGATGGTCGGTGCAGGTCGGGAAGGGGAGGGTGCTCGTAGGAGGGAACAGGGTGGCGCTGCTAGGGTACGGCACGATGGTGCAGGCATGCATGAAGGCGGCAGAGGCGCTGAAGGAGCACGGCATCTACGTCACCGTCGCCGACGCGCGTTTCTGCAAGCCGCTCGACACAGGGCTTATCCGGGAGCTCGCTGCCGAGCACGAGGTCCTCGTCACTGTGGAGGAGGGCTCCATCGGAGGGTTCGGTTCTCACGTCGCCCACTACCTCAGCCTCAGCGGCCTCCTCGATGGCCCCCTCAAGGTAATAATAACCCTGCTAATTAAAAAATAAGTAATTTTGTGGGCTATAAGAAAGTATCTCGAGGTACGTGAGTTTTACATTAAAATTGTGTACATCACGGTACCTAAGTATCTTAAGATACCAAGTTTTTTATTAAAAAAATATGGTATGTCCCAATACATTTTGAAGGATGGTAAAATCACTCTAAAAAATACCACCTACCGTATCGTGCAATTCCACGAGGTAGCACACTTTCTAGTATTATTTTTTTATGGTACAAGAAAGTGTACTAAAGATGGTATAGAAAAGTCGAAAAACTTAATTGGTCGTACAATTAATTATTGGAAAGTTACTGTTAATGTAATTAACCATGTGTTTTATATGTTTTTTTCATATGCAGTTGAGGTCCATGTTCTTGCCAGACAGGTACATAGACCATGGTGCACCAGTAGACCAGCTTGAGGAGGCAGGATTGACACCAAGGCACATTGCTGCCACTGTGCTGTCCTTGCTTGGGAGGCCATTGGAGGCACTTCAGCTCAGCTGAATAATTCAGCATGACTGTATGCATATACACATCAGCCGACAAATAAACAGGAAACTGATGATAGCTAATTTATGAGAGATATGGAGATCTTCTCCTTCTCCATTATCCTTGGCCTAATTAACCATGGCCACATGGATATGGAGGGGGGGAGGTTCCAGTAAGAAGTAGGGTTACTAGGAAGAAGATGAAGGAGAAGGCAACAAAAAGCCCATGTGTATGTGTTTCTTGGCCTGTTGCAAAACATGCTTCCAAATGCAAAATGATAATGGAGGTGTTTGTGTACAAGAGGATGGAGACATGAAGATGGGGCATGCATGTCCTTGCATGATAGTATTGACATGAGAAGGAGAAGGATATGCCTCTCATCTGGCATTGTCAGGAGTGACATATATGAATGCATGGCTCCTTATGTTCTTTTGTTACTTTGTATAGATAACAAGTATAAGAAAGAATCATGTATTCTAGTAGTACTACATACATACAAACTCAGTTCCCTATGCAGAAGGAAAATGGAGAATAAGATGGAAAGTTTTTCTTGTTCATTTGTCTCTTGAGAAGAGGGCCAATTTCATGCCTTGTGAATTGTGATCTCTCTGCTAATTTGTCTTTTGTTATCCTTGTGCTCATGGAATCATGAAAGTGGATGGCCTAGCATCTTGGACTGTTAGTAGGGTAGGGTGCCATAGTTTTTAAAATGGGTTCTTGGCTGGACTACTGAAGTAGTACTCCAGTAGTACCAAGTAGAGATATCAGATATGTTATGCTAATTAAAGACAGAAGCAGTCTTCAAATTAAAAAAGGACAGCCGCGATCCTTACAAAAACTATTTTAATGAGTTTGCTGTTGTTATAATTCAATGATTAAAAAGCAATGTTACTGATTAGTAGCAAACAGTGCACACATCTGAAAAGGCTTAAATAGTCTTATTTCAGTCGACCTGGCATGCTAACAACTAACAGACACCACTTATTAGTTCCATCTGGTTAATGAAAGGCACTACAAGATCCAGGCATCCTTTTCTTTTGGACTGAAATACCAAGGCATCGTCATTGGACACTCTGCTTTGATGCTCCTGTCACATTTTTTAATCAAACTATGACAAAATAAAGAGTCATAACAATAACAGTTCAGTATATAAAGGTTCATGAGTTCTAGCAGAGAATAGGTCGTTTCAGTTATTCCCTTTTTTGTCTTTATTAGGTACTTACATTTTAAACTATCAGGGAACGTTTCTGTTAAAAAACAACTACGGGTGATCTCATCCACCCAAAAAAATAGGAACAACGGTTCCTAATCTAACCGGTAGAGGAGAAGTGATCGCTCCTCTCTCTCCCTTTGGCATCCCTCTCGACAACCGACAAGATGTTCCCAACCATCGCGTCCCCTGCGGTTGCCATTGTTTCACATTGTATAAATGTACTATTGATCAATGAGAAATTATCTATTCGCTCTATTGTGTCGCTCAATTCTCTCTCGCTCAATCTCTCGATTCTATTCACTCTCAACAGTTTCCTCGTATGCTGCATTTAGTCCAATAGTTATGAAAATTCTAAAAGTTTTAGGCAACGTGAATTATTTTGTCACATATTCTTCTACAAACATGCAAAATCAACTTCGATGTACACATGGAGATTGATCTTTCATTTTCGAGAAGGGATATGTGAGGAAAAAAAACACAAATCGTTTATGTTGTCTATTATTTTCATTTTTTTTCTGAATTATTTGGATTATATGCGAGAAACGCAGACGGCTGCCATCAAGAGCTTAAAATAATTCCCCTTTGTACAAGTGATCACTGATCAGTACTAAAATGCTCGTTGAATTTTGGTGATCTTTTTTGGGCGTTGTTTTTTACTTTTCAACGTTTCCTCTTTTCTGTTATCTGTTTTTGTACTGCCTTTCTTTATCAATGAAATGAGGCAGGTTTTCTGCCTTTGCATTTATTAATAACAGAAAATCCAGACATAAGGGACAGCAAACGACTTCAAATGAGAAAGAGAGCAACAGTACTGATGTTAGTACCGGGTATCCATTCAGAGAGCAGATATTGTAGCCATTGTACCAGTCCACCACATGGGAGGAAAATAGTGCACAGCAAAGGATATAGCAAATTAAGCTAATCAGGGTTTGCACTTTTGGTTTCGGCCAAAATTTCAGTGATTTTGGTGTCACCGAAATTTCGCAAAGTTCAGTGTTTCCGGTACTTATTTGCACAAAAACATTTGAAAATTTAACAAATTTTGATTGAATTTAAATAAATTTTGACCAAATTCATAAAAATTTGGAAAAATCCGAAAATTTCGGGGTGAGAGAGTTGCTTGCCATGACATAGTTTTGAGTTTTCATATACTATTTTTTTCTTCTTAATATAATATCGTGCGCCTCTCCTGCAACGTTCAAGGAAAAAATTAAGTTTAACCTCCCTAGCCTGCCTGTTCATTAAATATTGAGCATAAGCATGCATCTAATATGAACGATGATATTCTTTTTAGATTATTCATCGGATTGTTTGCCCTACACTTCCAAAAAATACATCTTTCTTTTTTTAAAAAAAATGTTTGATTGCTTATGCCAGTTGTTTGAAGCTATATATTTAATGCATTTCTCAACATACCTAATTTATCCTTGCAGTCAAGCAAATAATCCGCGGTAATAATCTCCTCAATAATCTAAATCGAACGGAGCCGTCATCATATGCATCACATGTAGGAGTAGTAGAACTGGGAGATGCAAAATGGTTGAGTGCGCATCTAAAGAGTGGCACAAATAATATAATCAGTTTTGTTATTAACAGAACACTGAAAAAAACAGAATTGGTCGGATGATCCAGACATCATATTTTTTGACAAATTAGTGTTCAATACAGGACTGGAAAGGTAGAAGGAAACTAAAAGATGGGAAAACAGCAAGTCACCAGTCCACAGCATGAGCTTTCCGGTAATCAGACTTCCAAAGATACCTTCAGACATTCAGACTATTCTGCATGGAGCTAGCTCACTCTCATGCCAGGCTTAGCTTGAGAGGCACACTGACCAACCCTACTTTTCTTCTCTTTTTTTCAAACTCGTGGTGAAATCACATGGTTTGAATTCATCAGATATTTGAGAAATAATCGCGACAAGTTCTCGGGCGCTCGCTTTCATCTGAATCTGTTTTACTCCTTCCTTCCTAGGAAGCTTCAGAAAACGGAATAGACAGCCCGGCAGAAGAACACTACTGCTGTCAGTCAAACCGGCAAACACCGTGAGAGATTTTCTGCTGGAGGTATGAGTACCTTGACTTGACAAAATGAGAGGATTACGCCAAGATTACTGTGCTACATTCATACGGATTAAATTAATTGAATCAAGAACTTTATCTGCCTTGATGATGAAACAGTAGTACTATCTGCTGGCTGCAAAATGCGAAGGTGACAGCGTTGGTTGTCAAAAGAAGAACAGGTATTGCTGATTTCCAAAAAAGAAGAACAAGTAGGAGTATATAATTTAGTCACATGCAGTACGAACAGATAATTACTTGTACTGCATTAATACTATGCTCTGAATCTGGAGAGATTTTCCATGCACATGCTTTACCTTGTGCGTCTGTTTATGTTAGGAAATTTCAACTTGTGCGAGCGAGAAACGAACTGGAGGACTAAACATTTGTCATCATCTACCCTATCAGTGAGCAGAACATTTCTTTCCTGAGTTTTTCTGAAAGGCATTTAGCTTGTCTGACTCTGATCATGATGTGTAATAATACTTCAGGTCTTTTCTTCTTACAGATTATGGATTATCACGGCACGCTTCCCAATCTCCGATTTTACAAAAACTATGTATGTACAAATTTCTTGCAATACTACTTTTTAAACAAAATAACCTTATTCATTTATAGCTTCAAATACTATCAAAAAATAGATAATCCATCGTCCATCTATCCATTCAGATGAAATTCTAGGCCAAGTAACAGGATTCTTTTTTATAAAAAACACGATAAAGAAATGATTCCTGACAAGATTTTCAACCAAAAGAAAATCCAGACAGGATTCATACATCAACTATACCAAGTTTAGATCACAAGCAGTCTCAAACTTTTTTTTTTGAACAAGCAGTCTCATATTCTCAAACTGGTTCACTTGAACTGTCCGAACTATTCTTCCCGGCCCAATAGAGGCTACCTCAGGTGCTCTAGCGCAGTTGATTGGGCTTAGCCTTCGGCCCACCAGAAAATGGGCCGCGATCATTTGTTGTGAACTTGAGAGGAATAAGTTCATTTGTGTTCCCTCAACTTGACGTCGGGTTCGAATTACGTCCCCAAACCACAATACAATATAACACATCCTCAACTTGCAATACAGGCTCATATTAGGTCCCAAGACAGTACTATACCTAGTTTTGGCTGATGTAGCGCACACGTAACTCATTTGACTAGGTCCTCATCTCACGTGGCATTGACATGGTGCTTACGTAGCAATTCGACAGATAAAATAATTAAAACTATGGGGCTCGCATATCAATAGTGGGGCCATGCGGGGTCCACATGTCAATAATAGAAATGGAAAAACAAAATGGGCCCACTTGTCATCCCCGTCCATTTCTCGCCATCCCCTTCCCTATCTTTGGCAACAATGAGGGAGGCGGCTGGAGGAGGAGCTCAAGCGGCCGCTAGCAAGCGCGGCAGCTGCGGCGGGCGCGACAACAGTTGACGACGATAGGGTCATCCGCTCTCCTCTCCTCCCCTCCCATCCCTGGCCACCGCCGTCCTCCCCTACCCCCGGCGCTGACTAGGTCTACTCTGCGGCCATGGCCTTCTCCCCGACCATCCACCTCCACCACCCACATTGCCTCCTCCTCTCTCCAACCCCTTGTCTATCTCCCCCTACCACCCATGGCTCTCCGCCTGATCGAGCCCCCGCCGCCATGACCCCCTTCGTCGTCCCTCCTCTACTCTCGACCTCCTCCCGAGCCCTTCCCCTCCTTCGACTTCGGATGAGGATGCACGGGCTTGGAGCGGGAGGTGGAGAGGGCAAGGAGCTCGCTTGCTCCACTCTGGCTGCTTCACCCACCGCTCGCTCCACTCTGCCCTTCTCCTCGCAGGGGAGAGAAAGGGGGAACATAGCGATGCTCACAAAAATGCGTTTAAACGCATTTAATTCTGGTTTAGGTACTTGATGAGTGAGGATGACATGTGGGACCCACATGGTCCCACCGCTTTTTAATTATTTTGTGGTGTAACTGACAAGTGATCCCATGGTTTTATTTATTTTCTCGGATCGAATTGCCACGTAAGCACCAGAGACAATATTACCACGGACATCTTTTGTATTGGTTTTGTAAGCTAAGGGATGTGTTGTATCCGGTTTTGCGGTTAAAGACGAAATTCAAAATGAGCGCGACTAAATAAGGGACCTAAAGTGAACTATTCCAACTTGTGATCCTGACCAGGAATCACCTGGTCCATATTGGGCCGACCCGAACCAGATTAAAGCGGATAACTTCTATGCTTCATCATGTATACTAGCCACATGTGCCCGCGCTTCGCTGCGGATCATGAATTTGTAAATTACCGTAGTAAAGAAAGTTTTTTCTAATATGTATACTGATCCATTGTTTAAATGGTTGCAATATATTTTATTACTTAATGATACCCCACGCGTTGTTGCAGAAAATTCTCAAATTTTAGTTATTGGGTAGAATGTACAACCTAATGCTAAAAAGTTAGAGATAAACAAAATGATTTTTTGACCAATAATTGTGTGAATAGCGTAAGTCAAATTCTAAAAATAATTTAGGTAACACATTTTAGCAGAAACTTCAAAAGATGTACATACTTTGAGGTCATGAGTTAACATACAATGTTGTACTGTATTATTCATCAAATATTGTCACAATGTAGCTTACTCATAGATATAAGATTGTATGTATCTAGTGAGGGACAATTTATATTGTTCACTAACATCTAATATTGTTCTCGGAATGGTATCCAGAGAAATTTTTATGATTTAGAATAAAATGGAACAATGTTGTATAAATCTATAAAAATATAATTGCTTAATTATTTATATGCTTAGATTTGGCACCTCTAAATGTGGCCTAACTACCATTGGACCACAGTAAGTAGGGGCTCATAAAGATGCATCCCCTATAAAAGCCAAGGGACACCGAGAGTCCTCTACGGAAGAATTCTACCCTTCCCATTAGGACAGTCAAACACCTTATTGCTACCCCAATCTTCCTTTCAATATGGAGAACTCCTCAAAGAAAACCCAAGAGTTCTTCCCTAAAGGTGGGAATGGAGGTTATGCTGAGCAGCTGGAGCTCTTGCTGAAGCAGCTTCGTTTTCCTAACAAGCCGATCCACCATGCGGAGCAAGTGATCAAAGGATTCCGGAAGGATTGGACGATGAAGATCTACATTCAAGCCAGGGAAGAGAAGTGTCAAGGACATGTGTTCAAGTCCCGCCACCTTCGAGCCAACAAAGAGGCCGCACTCCAGGATGCGTCGCGTGAGGCATTCATGCGTCTATGTAAGATCTACAGCATCGAGGTTGCGAGTACTCCGTTCTTTCTACATCCATTCCGTGAATGCGGTGACCGCCGCTGCCATATTCGGAAATTTAGGGGCTTTGAGGAGCAGTCGCCCATCCACTTCTCCATGTGGATGTGGGCTGCAGACGAGGCCTATGAGGAGGCCTTAGAGGAATTAGATATGCTTCGGTCAAAGATCGCCGGCTGGGAGGAGCGGTACAACCACCTTGCTAAAGAACACACCACTCGTGGACAACTATTGGAAGCAATCAAGCTTCACCTCCAGTGGTATTTTCGAACCCCATCTCAAGCTCAAATCCAACGGACTTTGCCACCACCACCACAAAGAGTGACAAGAAGTGATGGTGAGGACTATAGTCAAATCAATGCACAGCAGGCATGTCTGGAAAGGTCCGAAGTTAAACTTGATAGGGCAACTTCACAAGACTATCTGCAAGGATACAAGCCCCCATAAGAATCCCTCGACGCTATTGTTTGGCCTCTTGTTGAAGGGAAGCATGACAATACAAGCAGTGGTAGGAGGAATGAGGTAAAGGAAACTGCTCACAATAACCAAGGGACCTTGTTGGGCTAGTCCTCGGAAAGAGAGTTGGACCAGCTACATATCTAGAAGACCGCTATATAAGTGACAGGGCTATATCTTGTCACGTAGGAGTAGCATGTGGGTGGGAGTTGGACCAATTTCACATATAGGAGACCGCTATGTAAGTGACAGGTTATTGCCTGTCACCTAGCAGTACTATGTGGGTGGTCAAGATCACCTATCAAGTGTACTTGTCTATGCCTAGTTGTGGCCTACCAGTTAGACTAGTATGTGAGGGTGGTAGTAAGATTGCATTCCCTTTGTCCAGTTGTGGGTGGACAAGCTAGGCGGATAGTCTAGTGTGTTTGTGTTTGCGTGGTTGTGATGCTTTTGTGCTTGGCCCGAGGACATTGAGCAATATTTGCTTAAAAATGCTTGTTTTCTTCTGCAATGCTACTTTGTTTTCATGATCATGCAAGTTACCTAAATACATGTGAATTGTTCTAGTTGATGGGATCTATTGCGATAGAATCACATGATTTCCAATTGTATAGTAACGGAGCTAGCAACAGTAATATAACCATTTTGACCAGGATGGTTCAAAAGTAAACCATATAGAAAAGGAGTTGTTTATTAAATATATGTATTGTATCAACTAAAATAGTACACAATGGCCAATAATTTTGCAATGAATTTAGTTTATAATTGGCATGGTATGGTTTTTTTTTTGCATTTTGTAGAAGGCATGGGAAATGGCAAAACAAGTAAATATATAACAAAGTAATTTCTAACGATTGTTAGTAATCGGAAGATGGTTGGTATTAGATTACCAAGTTTGGAAGTATTATTTTACCAGAGAACGTATAAGTAACATGTATATTGTTCGAAGTGCCCACATTTGAATTTACGTTCGATGAAGGATTGTTATGTAATTTTTCCTTGAAAAATGTGCAAAAGCACATGTTTACAAATCATCACCATATCTTAAGATGAAAGTAGGCATAAGGTTTAAAAAGTCAAAGGTAATTATTAGGTTTATTTTTTTGTTATGCTTACACACGTATTGACGATACAAAGGTTCGAGCCATTAACTCTGATGCCTAAAAATATCTTCAAAGAAAAAAAATCGATCACAATTGCTTGAATAATAGTAAGAGTATACCTAACTGAATTTGGGGCCCACCAATATAATTACCGTACACATCCAACTGCACATGGATTGATATGCCAAATTACTATAATCGGAGGTGCCTAGAGGAAGGATTTATGCTTTGGTCTATAAACATCAAGACAATATTGGACCGGTCCTCGAAAAGAGAGTTGGACCAGCTGCACATCTAGGAGACCGCTATATAAGTGACAGGGTCATATCACATCTAGGAGACCTCTAAGTAAGTGACAGGGTCATATCTTGTCACCTAGGAGTAGTATGTGGGTGAGAGTTGGACCAACTTCACATATAGGTAACCGCTATGTAAGTGATAGGGTCATAGCCTGTCACCTAGCAGCACTACGTGGGTGATCAAAATGGCCTCTCTGGTGTGCTTGTCTATGCCTAATTGTAATGCTTTTGTGCTTGGCTCGAGGCCAATGAGTAATGTATGCTTGAACTGCTATGTAAGAGACAGGGTCATAGCCTGTTAGTTAGAGTAGTAGGTGAGGGTGGTAATAAAATTGTATTCCCTTTGTCTAGTTATGGGTGGACAAGGTGGGTAATCTAGTGTGTTTGTGTATGCGTGGTTGTGATGCTTTTGTGCTTGGCCCGAGGATAATGAGCAATATTTGCTTAAAGTTGCATGTTTTCTTCTCCAATGCAGGTTTGTTTTCATGAGCATGCAAATTATCTAAATACATGTGAATTGTTCTAGTTGATGGGATCTATTGCGATAGAATCAAATGGCCTCTAATCGTATAGTAACAGAGCTAGCAACAGTAATATAACCATCTTAACCAGGATGGTTCAAAAGCAAGCCATATATAAAAGGAGTTGTTTATTAAATATATGTATTGTATCAACTGGAATATTACACAAGGGCTAATAATTTTGCAATGAATTTATTTGATAATTGGCATTGTATGGCTATTTTGTTTTTTGCATTTTGCGGAAGGCATGAGAAATGCCAAAACAAGTAAATATAGAGCAAAGTATTTTACAACGATTGTTAGTAAGTATTTTTGAGGTAGATGGTTGGTATTATATTACCAAGTTTCAAAGTATTCTTTTACCAGAGAACATATAAGTAACATATGTATGTTTCAAAGTGCCCACATTTGAATTTACTTTCGATGAAGGATTGATACGGATTTTTTTTCCTTGAAAAATGTGTACAAGCACATGTTTACAAATCATCACCATATTAAGATGAAAGTAGGCATATGGTTTAAAAAGTTAAAGGAGCTCATCAGGTTTAATTTGTTTTATGCTTACACACGTATTGAGGATACAATTTTAAGGGTTGAGCCGTTAACTCTTATGCCAAAAATATCTCCAAAGAAAAAAAATCGATCACAATTGCTTGGATAATTGTATGAGTATATCTAATTGAATTTGGGCCCCATCAAGATGATTACCATACACATTCAACTGTACATGGATTGATATGCCAAATTCCGGTAAGTGGAGGTGCCAAGAGGAAGGAGGAAGGATTTATGCTTTGATCTAGAAACATCAAGGCGGCACACTTTCCCCTTTCCTATATACCGAGGAACTCTTCCAGGTAATACGAACCCTTAGCTACTTTCCTTTCATGCTCAATTTTCACCCTTCTTGTGATTGCTTCCTCAATATGCTGGGAAACAAGTTAGTAGTGATTATTGGTGCCACGGGAACTGGAAAAACAAGACTCTCAATTGAGATAGCCAAGGCGATTGGTGGGGAAGTGGTAAATGCTGACAAGATGCAAATTTACGATGGCCTGGATATTACGACAAACAAGGTTTCTTTACAAGATCGATGCGGCATATCTCATCACCTTATTGCGTCCATCCCTCGCAACGCAGGTGATTTTCCTGTGTCATTTTTTCGATCTGCTGCAAAAACCACAATAAACTGCATTGCCAGACGTGGTCACACACCGATTGTGGTGGGTGGATCTAACTCACTTATCCATGGTCTCCTTGTTGACAATTTTGATTCGTCTATTGTGGATCCTTTTGGGCAATTGGAGGTTAGCTATCGGCCGACGCCTCGATCGCAATGTTGTTTTCTATGGGTTCATGTTAATGAGGTGATTCTTAATGAGTATTTGAAACATCGTGTTGACGACATGGTTGATGCTGGGTTAGTTGAGGAAATTGAAGAATATTTTGACACATTATCAGTTAATGGACATGTTCCATATGTGGGATTAGGGAAGACCATTGGTGTTCCAGAGCTAAGCGAGTATTTTACTGGACGGGTGAGTTGTAGTGATGCTCTTTCTATGATGAAGACCAATACACAGATTCTTGCATGATCTCAAGTCACAAAGATTCATCGCATGGTTGATGTGTGGGGATGGCATGTTCATGCCCTTGATTGTACTGAAACTATTCTAGCACATCTTACTGGATCAAATAAATATATGGAGGATTTGGTGTGGAAACGTGATGTAAGTGACCCTGGACTTGCTACTATACAAGATTTTCTGTGATAATATCAGAAGATGGGAAGCTAGTTTCTCAAACACATCGGCTATTGATTTTGTCTACAATAATGGTTTAATCGTCTGGCTTGCTTAGTAATTTTACAGATCATGGCATAGTAACTTAACTTGGATCATTTTGGGTGTGTTTGGAAGGAGCAAACATCAATTGGTGTATATGAAATTACTTGGAGGCCTTTTGTACCTTAAACACTTGGATGCCTTTTATTTTACATAATAGTTATATATAGTTGTGACGGAGCGTGGGGCTCCTCACCGGGAGGCCGCGCAGGCCCCCCTTTGCCGGTTCGGCCGGGGGCGCTAAGTGAGGTTCTTCGCCCTCGATCTGAGGAACGTCAGCGAGAGAAGAAATGCGCAAGACACGGGCGACGTAGACAGGTTCGGGCCGCTGAGAAGCGTAACACCCTACTCCTGTGTTCTGGTGGATCTGTGAGTGAAGGAATCCAGAGACTCGAGAGCGAGAGAGAGTTCAGGTTCTAGCAAACATTCGCCAGAGTCCCAACTCCCCTTTCGTCCTCTCCCCCCCTTTCTTAGGCCTGGGCCTCCTTTTTATCTGGTCAGGGGTCACCACATGGGCCTCTAGCTACCTAAGAAAGGAAACATGCTTTTACAATGAGGGCTAGTCTACAGCCGGAAGTGACCTGTGACAAGCCGAGCGCACGTCTCTTGCTCCGCTCGCCCCTCTTCCGGTGGACGCCCATTTCAACCTTCATTTAATGGCCAGCGACTTCCTTGCCATACTTGCGCTGAAGCCTGGAATGAATCTAACCGGGACTGACATACCCACTCCTGGAGTTGGCACGCCGGCTCCGGCTAGGGACGAGAGCCAGGAAGCTCTCATCATTCCAACGGGACGGGGCGAGGCGTGTGACAGGCCGCCTGTTGCCACCTAACCCGCGATCTGACCGGTCTGTGACCGGTCACTCACCGCGACCGGTCACGGACCGGATAAGCGTGCGCTGCGCCGCATTAAATGCGGCATGGCGCGCTCGTCCAACCTGCTATAAATGCGGTTAGGTGAGCCCGCTGTGCTCACCTAACCCACACACGTGGCGCCAAAACCACAGGGGGTCGGGGCACCCCAGCCCTCAGGGCCGAAACGGGAGCGGCCCGACCGCTCGGGGAGACAGAGGGAGGGGTGGCCACGTCACCTTCGGGCCCGACTCCCCCGAGGGGGTCAGGCCACGTGGGTGACCGCGGCTACCCAGGCCTCTGGTCACGATACCCCCGGCCCCATGTCACCGACAGTAGCCCCCGGCGTTACGCCAGGGCGATCGCCCCCCTCGAGGGAAGCGCTCGGGCGTGACGCCACTCCTTAGGCCCGGTGACAGGTGGGGCCGGTCCCTACAGGCGGGCAGAAACCCAGCGGTCGCAAATCGCGCGCATCAGCAAGGGAAAACCGACCAACAATAATGAGCGGCGCGCGAATCGGGACGAGCCGGTTCGTTTTGCTTGGAGACATGATGACGGCGCATTTCACGGTTGGCAGGCGTAGTTAATGTGCGCACGATCTACCCCATCTCAACTGCCACGGCTGCACATCTGCCGCGTGCGCCGCAAACGGGCGAGCGGGGTTAGTGGAGGCGTGGGCGCGAGAGACGAGGGGGCGAGGTAGTGGGCGCGGGAATCGAGGAGCCGGGCATAGCGTTGGCAAGGGTACTAAGACGCCAAGGAAGGGATTTGTTTCCTTCCTCTCGCCACTCTTCCCCTTGCCTTTGCCACTTGTGCTCTGACTCTCCGTTTCCGGCGCCCTACCCTTGCCATACTCGCTCGCTCTCAAGCTCCTCCTCCGCCGGCGTCATGGCACGGGGCTCCGCACCGCTCGAGGGTAGCGTGCTGCCGCCTTCCCGCATCGTGAGCGAGAGGCAGGCCGGGCTGCCGCGCCGATTCATGCCGGAATCTGCCACCGGCCGGGAGGTGGTCGCGCTGGGCGAGGGACGCCCGGCGCCGCACTACCCGGGGCGGTCCGTCTTCTTCCTCTCTTTCGCAATGGCGGGGCTGGTCCCGCCATTCTCTATTTTTTTCATGGATATTCTGGAGTTTTATGATCTCCAGATGGCGCACCTCACCCCCAACGCGATAATGACGTTGGCCATCTTCGCGCACCTGTGCGAGATGTTTGTCGGGGTGCGCCCATCTCTCCGGCTGTTCCAGTGGTTCTTCACCGTACAGCCGGTGTCGCCGCTGACGGTAGTCGGTGGCTGCTACTTCCAGCCGCGGGGGCAGGTGCTGAACCGCTACATTCCCTGCGTCCTCCGCAAAAAGTGGGACGACTGGAAGAGTGATTGGTTCTACACCCCCCTCGCCTACGAAGCGCGCCTCCGACTTCCGAGCCAGCCCCCGGCGCAGGCCTCCAGCTGGCGGGCGACGGTAGATCTGGGAGACGGCTACGACGCCGTTCTCGACCGCCTGGCGGGTCTGCGATCCCAGGGGCTCACGGGGGCCATGGTGTTCGGCGACTACCTTCATCGCCGGATCGCGCCGCTCCAGCGGCGCGCCCGGGGCGCCTGGGAGTACACCGGGCCCGAGGACATCATGAGGACCCACCAGGGGCGTAAATGGGACTGGGACCCTGAGGATTTCAGGATGGTGGTCCAACGGGTGCTGAATCTCAGCTCCGTGGAGGCATCCCTCATCCCCCAAGGGGTCCTCCCCCTCTGCTGCGATCCAGAGCGCGCCAACATCCTGACCATCATGCAGGAGGTCGGGGCGTCGGGGGAGCGGGCCCCCCGAGGCCACGATGGCGCGGGCGGGAGCCGCAGGGGGGAACAACCTACCCCAGCAGGGGGTCGTGCTTCTGGGCCCCGCGACGGGGGCCCGGGGGGCAGCCGCCCTGCCGACGCCCGGGGGAAGAGGAAGCAGGAGGGAACCCCTCCCCCATCTCCTCCCCGAGGGGGCGGGGCGGTGCGTGCCAGCAGCAGGCGCCCGGAGGGTGCCGCGCCGACGCCGCAGCCCGAGGGGGAGCGAAAGAGGAAACGGCTCCGCAAGATGGGGGGGATCGCGCCATGCCGGGGGAACCTCATCTCGCCCCCAAGGTGGTCGTTTAGCCGACCTCCCCGCAGGTTCGTCCCCGCGCCCATCGCGGCTATATTCATTCTCCCATCTCCCAAGGCAAGTTTTCACTCACCCGTTTCTTTTTGTCTTCTGGTTTTTCTTCCGCCTCAGCGAGATCCCGTCGCCCCCCCCCCCCCCCCCCGCCCTTCCAAGTCCGGCCGGTCTGAGGCCGAGGAGACGGCGACCGCGGAGGCCCGGAGGCGGGAAGCTGACCGGCGAGAAGCCGCGGACCGCCTCCGGGAAGCCGAGGAGGCTGCCCAGGAGGCCGCTCGGGTTCGCCAGGCTGAGGAGACCGCTCGGGAGGAGGCCAGACTCCGCCGGGCTGGGGAGTCCGTCCGGGAGGCAGAGGCGGCGCGCGCACGCCAGGCGGCCTGCCAAACCTCCGACCCGACTCCACCCGAGGGGACGACAACTTCCGAGGCCACCCACGACGAGGCCGCGGGCGCGCGGCTCGGGCCCGACCCCTCGGGCGACACTTGGGACGAGCCAGCCTCGAGGGACGCCCCCGAGTCCGGAACGTCGATCGGCGGGCCGAGCCGCGCGGCGCCCACACCGAGGCGGCTCTCCCCTCTGTCTTCCGCTGCCCCACTGAGCGCGGAGCCCTTCCTGCAAGCCTTGGCCGCCGCAAACAACACGGTGCTGGACGGGTTAAGTGCCCAGATGGAGGCCCTGCAGGCGGAGCGGGCGGAGCTCGACACGGCGTGGGCGCGCGTCGAGGAGGGGCGGCGCTCGGTGGAGGCCATGGTGGAGGCGGGCCGCAAGGCGCACCGCCGGCACACCTCACAGCTCGAGGCCCATCGTAGGGAGCTGGCGGAGATCGCTAGGGAGGTGGAGGAGGAGCGGGAGACTGCCCTCATCGCCACCGCCGTGCTCGACGAGGCGCGGGACGACCTCCGCCTCCAATACGGGAGCCGGGCGGCGGAGCTAGAGGAGAAGCTCGACGCCGCCCGGGGAGTCCTTGATGCCGCCGCCGCCCGGGAACGGCGGGCGGCGGAGAAAGAGGCGGCGTCCCGCCAGCGCGAAGAGGCCCTCGACGTTCGCGCCACGGCGCTGGAGGAGCGTGCCCGCGCCCTGCACGCGAAGGAGAGAGACCTGGCGGACCGCGAGGCCGCCGTCGCTACCCGGGAGGCAACACTGGCGGTGCATGAGGCCGCCTGCGCCGAAGAGGAGTCCGCACTCCGCTTCCGCGAGGACGCGCTCACCGAACGGGAGCGAGCTCTCGAGGAGGCCGAGGCCGCGGCGCAGCGGCTGGCGGACAGCCTGTTCCTCCGCGAGGCAGCGCGGGAGGAGCAGGCGCGCCGCGATCTGGAAGGCGCCCGCGCCGAGAGGGCCACACTGGATCAGCGGGCCGCTGAGCTCGAGGCGCGGGCGAAGGAGCTAGACGCGAGGGCGCACAGCGGCGGGGCGGCCGCGGGCCACGACGACCTAGCCGCCCACCTCGCAGCCGCCGAACACACCATCGCCGAGCTGCAGGGCGCGCTGGACTCGTCCGCCGGGGAGGTCGAGGCCCTCCGTTTGGCGAGCGAAGTAGGGCCCGGCATGCTTCGGGACGCCGTCTCCTGTCTAGACCGCGCCGGGCGGCAGGCGGGCCTCTGGGGCGGGCGGCACGCGAAGTACGCCGCCAACCAAGGGGGCCTCGCCCAGCGCCTCTCAGAGATGACCGGGGCCCTCGAGCGGCTCCCCGAGGAGCTCGAGGAGACGATCAAGTCATCCTCGAGGGACCTCGCCCAGGGGGCGGTGGAGCTCGTACTGGCAAG